GGCTGGTATATTCAAACCACTGATCCTATTTTCCATTAGCTCCCTACACTCAACCCACTGTGCCCCAGGGGCTCTTTGCATAGAGAATAGCAAGTGCAGGAGCCAAGAGGCCTGAAGTGCTTGGCAAATCAGGCACAGCAGGGGAGGCTGGAACTAGGTGGGTGAAGAGGCCCTTCTGTTCTCTGTCTGCAGGGAATCCACTGGAGCATGTGCAAGTGGGAGTAACACTAGATTTGGCTCTTGAAAAGCTCAGTCTCCCTGAGTAACAGATAGATTTTACGTGGGCAGAGTGGAAAGAAGGATTTCAATTGGGAGTTGCTAGGTTCTGTCCAGTAGGTTTTCACAAGAGACCCTGCCCAGGGGTCCAGGAGAGACAATGATCCTTTGGCACCTTGGAGAATAGGCCAAATACATGGGTCTATTTGGAAGGCAGAAGGGGCTGGGCAGATTCATTGCAGGATCTCCTGAGAGGAAGCCCGGGAAGACTCCACGGAGAAGGTTTCGGGTGTGTAGGGTGAAGAAGAACCAGTGCTTCTGTTTTCAAGGTCAGTTTGTGATTTTGTTAAATGCCTAACTGGAAGTACATGCGTGGTTGGGTTCAGAGGAAAGGTCGGAGGGCTGGGTGTTTACACAATGTGGTGAGTAGGTTCCCTGGTGTGAGTTACTACACAATGTGGTGAGTAGGTTCCCTGGTGTGAGTTACGGGATCTATTGTAGAGTTGGAAAGGCAGGTAAGACCAGGAGAATTGAATCCGAGGAGCTGGGAGCTCCCAGTTGCTTTGCCGAGTGTGCACATGTGTAACAAAGATCACGTAAGGCCTATCAGGTTTTTTGTGGGGTGGCATTTCTGAAATGGGACGGAACACTGGAAAGCAGTGGTGTGAGAGCTGAAGGCAAGTGAAAGGCAATTCATTCATTGGTAATTAAATAATGAGAGTGATTCTGAAGACAGGTGAGGTTGATTGACATTTAGGGACAGACGTAGGGTCGTTATAAATTGGAACTGACTCAACAGAGGTATACTTTTGCTTAACTTTTGGAAGGATGGAGAGAAGATTGAGGTGAGCTGGAGGAAATTTTGAGGGGGGTGGGTAGTAATAGGTCCAAAGAGCTGGGGATTCTAAGTGCACCCGCACCCCACTGCCATTGAATCACTTGTGTTATAGCGACCTTGCAGGACAGAACAGATTGGCTAACTAGAGTTTCCAAGGCCATGCATTTATTTAGTTAAACTTTTAAACTGAATCGAGTGAAGATTTACATCTCTTGATTTCCTTTCAACATTGCACAACTTATGTACACATTTTGTTTCATTCATTACAAACCCGCAGTGCCCTATCCCTTAGCCCACTCCCTCTCTACACTTCATTTCCATTTCTGCTCCTTTCCTACTGCTTCTAAACGTTGTCCTTGGGTAAATGCTGCCCTTGGGATCTAACTGGTGGGGCCGGGTCGAGGGGTGCACGGTGTAAGAGGAACGCG